CCCCCCCCCCCCACATGGGTACCTCATGTAGGCGATCGACAACATCCCCCGCAAAAACTATGGTACAGTGTTCCAGCCCATAGATACCTTGTGTAGACAGTCCCAAGAGTTGCCCACAAAAACTATAGTACACTGTCCCCCAACTCCTGACCCCATGCATATTCAGCCCAGAGAGTCTCCCCATGTTCCACAGAAAATCAAGTCACACAAACGAACAACCCTTGTGGTCATGATCACTCCCATAGGCAGGCGGTCCAGAACTTATAGCCAGCTGTCTGCCTTTCAGGCTGTCAATTCCTCAGTTTCCCTGTCCTGGGCTTTTTGTAACCATTGTTCCACCGGATCCCTGCTCAGAAATCTGGCCAGTCTCTGTCCCGGAAATGGTCCTCTTATGCTAGTACCATCAAGATCCTCAAGTTCGAATGTATTCAGTCCCACCCGCTTAGCGATCCAATAAGGCCCTTTGAATATCTTTCCCAGTTGCCCAGACCATGTGGTTTCAAGGGCCGAGTTTCTAACTAACACATTCTCCCCCACCTGGAGTGGCTCTTTCCGAATGTTCTTGACCTGGTCCCACCTTGCTTTGTCCTTCATTCGACTATCCGTTACATGGTTAACTACTTGCTCCAATGCCTCCTCATTCCTGGCGACCTGCTAGCAACGTGCGGTGATTAACTCCTTCGTGGTCAAGTGCGGATTATCGTCTAACCTGTTCCAGGTAGGGACAAGGGCCTCCACTGGGAAGCCAATCTCCCTTCCATACCATAGCTCCGCTGGAATGCAACCCGTCGTTCTCTTTGGTGTCATGTTTTCAGAGAAGACTGCCTGCTTAAGGTACCGTGGGCAGTTCCCCAAGTTGTCTGCTGCAAGTTTAGCGATTGTGTTTTTCAAGGTTCGGTGCCCCCTTTCTACTGATGCATTTCCCTCAGGGTGGTAGGGTTCAGTGATCTTGATTGGTACGCACAGTGTCTTAAGCCTGTTCAATACCTCCTGGTTAACGAATTATGTCCCATTGTCTGCTATAAACTTGCGCACAAAGGGGTGTCTTAGGTAGAAATCTTCCACCCAATCGGCCACTGCTTTCCCCGTCTTCTTTTTGAGGGCTACGGCCTCTACATAGCCACTGAGATTATCCCTTGTATCCAAGATGTATCTAAACCCATCCGTCAATACGGGCATAACCACAAGATCGAGGTGAACAAGGTGTCCGGGTCCCAGTACCCGAGTGGGTCTAAGGGGCTCGTAAACTCGTACGGAACTCCTTTCTTGACATATCAGACACGTTTGACAATACGTTGCGACCATGCTTGCCATCCCTGGCCAAAAGTACAGGGGCACAATCTTCGCAAGTGTCCCCTTAGATGACCGGTGACCTCCAGCTAGCCCGTCATGCATTGCCTGAATTATGTTCAGCTGCCTAGACCTCCCACAAACGACACGTCTAGGCATCATCCCTTCCTCTTTCTTGAACAGGTAGCCATTTCTTAGGACGTACTTTTTGACTTCCTCCCTTGCTTTGGGACTGACTTTCGTGCGCTGTTTGTTCCCTACAAGCAGCACACCGATTTCTTTGAAGACGTCCTTATACATCTGTATGAGGAAGAATTTATGTTCGTTCTGATCCGTACCCTGCTCCTCCCGAGTGAGGTTGACTAGGTACTGACACTCCTTTTGCGCCCAGGTTTCGGCCAACATCATTACGGCATTCCGTCCCCCTTCCACGGTCATTGCCATCAGTTCCTCTCTGGCCCCTACTTTCGCTCCCCACGAGTCCTTTTCCACTTTGCGCCTGACCGTGGTGACTGGTCCTTCCCCGAGTTCTGCAACCACTGCAGGTGTGCCCTTTTCCAAGGTCTGAACCAGCAACTGACCTGTTGTAATTGCCGGATCTGCCATCTCATTATCCACAACAAGGGTCCCTCCTTCGTATTCCAGGAAGGCGTCAATTGGTTCCGCGTCCTCTACTCCTTTTGGCGTGATACATGCCCTGCTCAGCCCATCTGCCCTATTTCGAAGCCCTGCAATTCGCTCGACCTTATAGTCGAATTGCCATATGAAGCCTATCCATCTGCCAATGGTCGGATCTATAGGCTTGTAGTTCTTTAGGGCCCCGACAACGTTGGTGGGGTCGATCCTTAGGATTAATCGCCTTCCGAACAGGTATGCCTGGAAGGTCTTAAGACAATGCAGAATCGCTAAGACCTCCTTCTTGAACTGTAAGTATCACCGTTCTGCCGAATTCAGGGTCCTACTTTCAAATTTGATTGACCTTTCCTTGACCTCCTCGCTTCTCTGTATCAATACTCCTCCAACTGCCAGCGGTCCCCCGTTTGTTTCTAGGATGAAGGGTCGTCCTACCTCGTCATTGAAACAGGGTGTTGCTAGAGTGACCTGATCGGATAACAGGATGTCTTTCAGGATTTGGCCTGCCGCTTCCCTATCCTCGGTCCAATCCAAAGTGCCTCCTTCCCTGCCCATTGCGCGAATAGGCTCGGCTATCTTTGCAAATCCCTTGATGAAGATCCTCCAGAATCCGACCACCCCTAGGAAGGCCCGTACTTCCGTTGTGGTGCGTAGGGGTGTTGGCCATTGAGAGATCTTATTAGTCTTTGCCGGGTCGGGTTTCCGTCCATAGGCCCCGCAGCGAAATCCTAGTATGGTTACTTCCGGAACCGCGAGAATACTCTTAGGTCCGCTTGTGGTAATATTATAAACTAGGAATCGCTGAAGTAGGTCCTTGATATCCTACAAATAATCCCAGATGAACTTTCGCACGCCCGGTTAGACCTCCACCTCATCCTTATACCTTGCACCTTTTATGGGATTGTCATCTATATAGGGTTCGCACTTTTCAGAAAACATATCCCCTGCGATGGCAAGCATCCTCCTATGCGCCTCCGCTACCGCATTTGTGAAACCCATAGGGGTCACCTGCATTTGCGGTTGTCCTACGGGGGTGTGCATTGCGGTATACGGTCTGTCCCTTGCGTCGAGCGGCAACTGATCGTATCCTGAGTACAGATCTATCAAGGAATAAATACTTCGGTCAGCGTGAGATTCGGCGAGCAAATCTGCTTATGGGAGCGAGTCTGAATCCCTAATTGTTACCGCATTGAGCTTTTGCAAATCCTGGATCCATCTGAGTGTTTTGTTGGGCTTCCGAAAAACGAACCATTTGTTTGCGTAGGGGGATGCGGTGGGCTCGACCACGAACGAATCTATCTTGGCCCTAAGCAGGTCAGTGACTTCCGCTGCTATCCCAAACTCGTAGGCATGCCCTTTATCATTCCAGCATTTGTGCTCAACCGTGTGGATCCTAACCGGAAGAACTAGCTTTGCGTCCAATCGCCCTTTCTGGTGGTCATTGAAAGCAAAGGCCAAGTGGAACTTCTGGCATGCCCTCCTTATCAACTGAGTTTCCTCCGCTGTTAAGAAACCCTTCCCCTCCTATTTTCATAGTATCTGCTACCTCATCAGGTATCTGATGCCCTTCCGTTGCTCGCCTCTCCCTTATAGCCCGTAGGATTTCCTCTTCCTTTTCCATGGTCTCTTCCTTTGATGTTTCTACTAGGATCGACACCGGCCTGGCCTTCTTCCCTACGGATTTGTATTTTCGCACACTGCCTTCTGGGATCGTTCTCCTAAAAAATGAACGGTCGGGATTGACCTTGCTATTTCCATGATACGGGGCTGAATGCTAACTATCTTCCCATTCAGGCAATAGCCTTTTCGAACCTCATCCTTAAACTTGGCAAAAGCTGTCGGGTCCACCCCCACTTTGTGGTACCTGATTGCCTTAACAAGTTGCAACAGGTTTGGGATTTCGAGCGCTAGCTCGTGGGTCTCGTTACGACCTTCCTTTGGCTTGGGCAGGCTGGCCCCGAGTTCAACTTCCAGCTCCTTTTCCGCCACCATAACCCCTAGGGGCTCGTCCTCTGGCCTCCTCTTCTTTACGGGCAGACCCATCTTGATCCATTCCTTTTTACTAAAAGCCTCCTCGATCATAATTTATATCCTTTCCCTCATGCCTTCCATTCTTGCGAATGCCCCTTTCCACGCACTTTCTTCGAATGTTGGACACCAGGTTGCCAATTTGCCCTTCGGAGGGTCCCCTCCAGTCCCAAGAAGTCGGAGGAGTTCCCCGCGGTCGGTCACTGGGTCCTCTATGTCTACCATGTATGTGTCGTCGTGCAGATGCATTCCTATCATTTCCACATTGGCGCACCATGGTCTCCCGAGGATTACGTCGTGATCCATTTCTTCCATCACAGTCATCCACTGAAAGGACCAGATGGATTCCCTATTTCCCGCCCTGACTGCACATTTGGTGACATACCCTGTGAAAGGAATTTCACCACCAGCTCCCCGGATACTCCCTGCAACTTCCTTGTTTACCGTGCACCCCGTGACTATTGCGAAATCTCGTCGTATGAGGGTGATTTCTGCTCCGCCGTTCACTAACGTGTAAGTGTGGTGAGTTCCGTTTTGAACTTTAAGTTTCCCAACTGGTAATGCATGAAAGCTAAGCTTTGTGCCGGGTGGCGCCCTCATGACTTCGCCACCTTCACGATCCGGTAGGCTTAGGCGGATGTCCGCAAAAGCTTTCTCCAAATCTCCCAGGCCCCCTGGAATGCTTTGGAGGTTGGAGACTCCTTGCGGCGCCTCGGCCTCTTCCATGTCCTGCTCTTGCAGTTCCGGGCCCTCCTCTACCTCTACACGCTTACGCGTTAGCAACTGCCTAAGTCCTTTAAGCAGCCTCGGGCTGGCCTGCAACATGGTCTGAAAAGACCCCGATACCATGGTACCCAGTAGCTTACTCAAGGTGCCATCGATTTTTGGCGAAGTCTGGATCGGAATTTGATACCTGAACTTTTTTTTTGCCGCCGTAGCCTTGTCTACCGGTTCGTCCTCCCTTGGCTTCCTATAGGCCTTCTCTTGTTCCCCGGCTTCAGTCTCTTGCTAGCTCGTGCTAGTCCCTGCGAGTTCTTCCATTACTGTATCTTGAATAAGCTTCTTTTCTGCGCCGGCCCGACGAGTGGTGATATTTACCCTATCCTTGCTATTGCCTTCTAGGATAAAATTGGCCTGTGGTCCCCGTCCCCTAGGCTGGTCCCAGACAATCTCGGCTATCGGCTCTGCTTCTACGGCGGCTATCTCTAGGTTATTCAAGAGGATGACGGTTCGTCGCATCCCTCCTGGCGAGTTCCAATTTACACGCTCCCTCCGCGGTCCGAGGATCTCACCCTTGAGGGACCTGCTGCACCTCTGCCGCTCAATATCGTGATTGAGTCTCGGACAGGCTCGTACGAAATGCCCGATCATGGTGCAATACTTGCATTGTTCGTTGGCGGGGTCCCTTCTGCCAAATCCCCGATTTGCTACAGTTGCCGGAACCACGGCTTCTTGGGGCGGGAGGGCGGATCGGGATACTTGCGCCTGCATCACTAATAGCGCGTTTTCCGTTCTTTCTATCTTATTGTCAACCCCGTGCACCCGCTCGTGCAAACTCTCTATCCCCTTCTTGACCTTGTCTCCCGTCTTCCCGGTCAGGTCTATGACCTCCCCTTCCTTAAGCAGGGCCAAGGTCTCTGTTACCACTGTCTTTTCTGCAAGATCTGTTACCGTACTGAAATCCACATCCCTTGTGTATTCAAACTTACTGGTCTGCTGGTAGGCCGACAAAATCTTATCCTTATCAAACTCGGAGAACTGCCTAAGGAAGTATTTACTCATTATGAGGTCCGTTACCCTGGGAATTCGCAGAGCCACTAACGTAAACGCCCTTAGGAAATCGTTGTAAGTCGCATAGTTTTTCCTCTGGACTACTGCTAATTCGGCCTCTATTGCCATTTTCTCTGCCTTAGGTATTTCCTCATTATCTCGTTCCTGTTTTTTTTCCAGGATCCACTGGACGCGACGATGGCCATAATGTCTCTTCTCAAGCTTAGTGACACGTGCTGTCCTAGGTGCTCCATCTTTTCCTCTTCCGTCCATTTCAGTAAGGTACCCGCTTCTCCAGCTGCACTGGTCCCTTCCCCTTCCTTGCTTTCCCTCTGCTTCTCCTTGGTTTTCGGCGTTCCTTCTGGGTCAAACCATCCTAACACCCTTTCCCTAAGGCTCCAGAGTCCGTCGCACGCCCCTGTTACTTTCGGCGTGGCTGGCAGTCGGCTAGTGCCGCTGTCGATAGCAGGCGGGGTCATAGCGTTTTCCGTCTCCTCCGCCAGGGGGTCGTTCTTGTCCTTCCCCTTCTTGCTAGGCGTTCCTTTGTGGCTATTACCCTTTCCCTCATACCTGGCCTCGTCTTGACCGGTCCTGCGTCCCTCACGTGACCCTGCGCCCTGGGGGTCCTCCTCATCCTCGGCCACCATCTGCTCGATAAGCCTTGCCTTAAATTCTGCAGTCTGCTTTCTATTTCTGCCAATTTACGACTGGCATCCGATACTTTTGTCTTTTTAGGGGTGGCTCCTGCTGAGTTCCAAGGGCTTGTTCTCATATCGTTTCCCCCTTCCCTGTTTTCCTGAGGTCCCCTTTTGCTACCCCCAGCTTTCCCCGAGCTTTCTCCAATTGAGGCGTCCTTTCCGTCTTCTAGGGTTCCTTCCAGTTTGGCTGACTGTCGATCCCTGGTTGATCCCTCGTTTCGTTCCTCATCCCCATTCGTGCCCTGATTCCCTCCGCTCTACTGGTCATCGATCCCTTCCTCAGTGGCCATTCCTTTACCTAGCCTGCACATGGAAAAAAAAGTTTTGCGAAAAAAAAATGGCCGGTTGTTCATAACTGCCCTGGTCCCGGCCCTAAAGCCCGCCTATTCCCATGTCTTTGCGTCTTACATTAATCAGTACAACTTCTCCTGACTTTTCTCTCCCGGGGCGTCCTTCAGGTTTTCTCCTACCGGGGCCTTGCTGCCGCCGCTTGGCATTTCTTTATTGCCGCACTTAGATTGTTAGGGCGGTGTCTGAGCCCAGTGCCTTTCCTATCGGGTATGGCCCTTTTGACTTATTGGCATCCAGGTGCCCCAGAACTTTTGGAGTGGGTGGTCTTCCTAGTTCCTCCCTGCCGCATCATTGGGTCGGTCGGAACTCCAACCACTGCCCCTCTTTTGCTGACGGCTGCCTACTTATCTTAGTACCCATCCCTTATTTCCCTACCTCTTCCTGACGCGTTTTCTCATGCTGGTCCCTCAGGCCTGCCCTGCTCATCCGGTTCCTTGAACAGGTCAGCCAACCCAGCAAGGTAATTTTCCCCCATCTCTATTTCCCTGATAATTATTGGCTCATATTCTTCAAACGACAGGTGGGGCAATCCGAATATCAAGATCTCGAGTAATTCGAGTAGTTCCTAGGCGTGATTCCCCCAGAACGGCCCATGTCTGACCGACACGTCGTAGAACATGCTCGTTGTTTGTGGTCGGAAGAGGTGGATCCAGACGAGGGTCGAATCCACCAGGTCCCTAACTCTCTTGAGGCTACTGAATACAAAGTTCACCGTGAAACGAGGTACTCGACACCTCAACCCGGTTATTGGGGCCTTAAACTCTCGCTACCCTCCGACCTCCACCCGAGTTCTTAATCCCACGTTTCTTCTCCTCTGCACTTTCTGGCCCACCCTGTTCGACACCCTAGTAACTCTCTCGAAGATTGGTAGCAACCCGGGACCTAGTGCCAATTCCGTTCCTAGCATGTACCATCCAAGTTCCGGCAGGTACACGGTCCCCGTTACCCTAAGGTCGGTGTACAGATCGTCTCCCGGTCTCCTGTTAATCCTCATACCATCCCACAAATATTCCACGATCATAAACGCCTGTCTTCTTCCCAGGGTCACGGCCCTCCATTCGGTGTCCAATCCTTGGATCATGTAGCTTGCTGAAAGCGATACCTCCCATCCGCCTCCACTTTTCGTGGGTGGCCGCGGGTGTGTGGACCGTCGCAGCATCCGGGCGCGTCCCATCGCCATTTTTGACTAAGTAGTCCCCTGCACAGTTTAAACAGCAAGCCATTTTACTTATTTCATTTAATCTTCAGCTCCCGCCCGAACACTCCCTGGTTTCTAACTTGAATCCTTCCTTTTCTTTCCTTGACCTCTTTTATTGGTCCGTCCCTACGTCCATCGGCTCATACAATCGGTACAAATCATCTACGTACACCATCCCTTGACTTATTTCCCGTCGGATCACACCCCACAGGACCTCACTTCCCACGTCCGGAGCCCTCGGCCTGGTGCTAAACACAGCACGCAGGATGCGCAACACCTCATACTTCTGCTCTCCACTAAACGGGCCCATTTCTAGGAAGGCCCGATAGTATTCTCGATGTACCATCGCATCTTCATATGTCAGGCTTGCGAGGTCGGCCACCGCTCGTCTAACAAGTCCCAGACCGCCCAGCCTTTCCAGCAGGAAGGGCGGCAGCCTCATTCGTACATTTTCACTAGGCAATTCAAAACTCCCGACCATGGCTACCCTAAGGTCCGCTGTTACATCGTCAACCCCCGGATCTGCGAACTCAAATCCCTCTCGCCATACTAACTGCCATGCCCCTTCAAACATGCTCAACGGGTCTTCTCCTGATGCTAGCCGAACTCCGAACTCCCTCCACCCATCCTCTGACACATACAGTCGTCCTTCTGCACGCACATGCCCCCGCGGGTTCGGGTCCCATTCCCCATTCTCATCCGCACGCCATTCAACTTTCGTCACCAAGTAAACCATATTTTCCGCAAGCTCGACCCCGACCCAATCTGCCACCTGGTGCCAGCCTTCACTTGTCGCTGGCAAGCTAACCTCTACCCCACCCGATACTTCCCTAGGTGGTTCAATGCCCAAGGGGTGTTCCTCAAGGAACGTCCTTCTCCGCGCCATCGCACACTCGCCTTCGATCTCCAGGCTCGCGATCCGCACTGAACCCTACAATGGCCAGACATCCCATTCCCTCGTCTTAGCAAGTTTTCCCATATTTGCCTGGCCCCACGGCTTTCCTGCGCTTAGTCGAACCATAGTACTTCGAACAATTTGAACACATCATCCACATAGCAAGGTGTTGTTGCTACCTCACGGCGGATTATGGCCTCCCTAGTTTCCGGGGTTACCTCCTGCCGGTCATTCCTTTTGATATCCAAAATGATAAGGACCTCCCGGGCTCTATTGCCATGGAAGGGTCCGTATTTCAAGGACGTCCTTTAGAATTCACCAGCCAGCCATGTGCAGTTTACGTGTATTCGCTCCATCGTGTCGGCTACCTCTGTTACGTGATCAAAACCCCCAAACCAGTCCGCCACGAACTGGGACACCCAAGTCTTGATTCGGGCGCCAGGCGGTTTAAATTCTTTCCATTCTCCCATCACGACTCTACTGCTGACCGTATCCCAACCTTTGTTAGCAAACCTTTCCCCCGCCTGCCGAGCCCTTGCCTCAGCGTCCCCTAAAAGCCACATCGGGTTCTGTCCTGTCGCAAGCGTTGTGCAGAATAGGTGCTAACCTTGTTCAGAGAGAACGATCGTTCCAACCGATTCCACCCTACCTTCCGCAATCTCCTCCCATCCTTCCTCTTCCCTCAACGGGTTCCAAACACGTTCTATCCATAGGTATGACAGTTCCGACACAATTTCATACCCCCGCCAATCACATGTGGTCCCCTTTCATTCATTGCTTGGCGGTATTGAAACGGGGTAGCACAATTTCTACTCCCCTTCCGGCTCGTCTTTGTTCCCATGTGCAGCCCCATAATTCGAGTTCTCGGGCCATCGCCTCCTACCTGCACATAGTTGACAACCCGTTTTCCCCAGGTAAGCCCCCCCCTTTCAGAAGTCCCAGTCCTCTATCTCGTCCCCGCCCTCCTCATCACTGAAATCCTCCTCCTCTTCTAAGAACATATCTTTCACCCCTTCCAAGAAGGTTTCCCCTGTCGCCACGTATCGGTAAACTATCTGCCAATACACCGGACTAGGAACAAAGACTTCGTCCGCGCTGAGGAGGTTTAACATCTCAGCTAATTCTTCCGCCCAGTTTCCTTCAAACGACCCAACTTCCACCGACAGTCTAAAGAAGTCTTGTCTAGCACATTGGTACAACCTCAGGTGTGTCATCGATCGACATATACGTTCCAGTTTATCCCTGGTCCCAAAGACTGCATCCACCAGAAACGGGGGTAGCACACACCTCATTGTCCTAAGAGGACGTCTCATATTTCTCCGGTCCCCGAGTTCCACTCGCACCTCCATCCTTTCCATCTCTATTTCTGCCCGCTGACATGCTGCCCATACCACTTCCCGTTCCACTTGCCTAAACAGCTGATCCGGTGTCGTGCCCAATACTAGTCCCACTACCATTGCATTTTCCATTTCCTATGATAGGTAGACCCATCCTCAAGCTTCCACTGTTCCTCGGAATTGTGGGTCCAACAAGCTAGGTGAAAGTCTCGTCAGGCTAACCTTAGTCCAGATTGTCTCTATCTAGAGGAACGCGTCCTTCTCGTCCAGCATCACGGTTTCATAGGCCGGTTCTAGGTCGATCCACGTTCCTTCTTCCGGGAGAACAACAGATACCCCGTCCCTTACCTCTATAGGCATTTCCGGACCACTAAAGTAAACAGGAGGCGACAACCATCACGCCATCTTGTTTCCCTACGCTTGTCCTGTTTCCCACATGAGAGCACCACACGGCCCCTCATGGTCAGATGGTTTGCTTTTCCTTTTCTAGATGAGAGTTGTTTTCAGACCCCTCATCCGGGTCTCCCTATCTTTTCTTATCCATTTCCCAGGTGCCATTGTGCTACCATACCCCCAATCGATCATGCTTGGCCATCATCATTTTCTCGGAGTTCCTTTTTCTTCCGACTCCTATCCAGCCTCTTCCTCATGTTCTCTCACTCGTGCGGACTTAGACTTGGAGGTGAGAATAAACTTTAGAAGCTCGGTTCCCATCCACCATTCATCAGGCAACTTTACAGAGGGAGGAACAAAAAGCAAAACTCAGGCAAACGTCGCACACAGGTCGGTCATCTCCTCACCGACCTTTTCCCCAGAAATGGTCTCTCCACTGTTACTATCGGCAGGGTTTTAGCCCATACCTCCAGCACAGCTCAACCGTCGCGAGCGCGGTACCCAGACTCCGGTGGGGGGTCGCCCTCACCTTCTTGCCTATAATACCCGATCCCGACTTGCCGCTCGTGTACCCACCGTTAATTTCGGGAATCACCCCGCACATCTCAGTAGGGTCATTGGAGCCAGCCGTCCAGGCATTCACTTCCATCGGTCCGATAAGGAACAGCCTTTCCCAAACCAAGCTACGAGAAGCTACTGACCGCCTCCCAAGCTCCGTATTTGCCCCCATGCAGTGGTGCTCCCTCCGCCAGTCCACAGGCTAGGCCCCGCCTGAGGAACGTTTCACACCCCGCCCGACGGATCAATCGAGCCGAAACCCGTCACTGCACGGACGAGAATGCTAACAAGCACTCGACGTGACAAACTCCCGCTAGACAGCTCGGTGGCCTGACCCCCACATACGAACAAACGGCAGCCTGCAAAGAGAACGATGTTTGGCAATCCGCAGTGGCCGGTGCAGACCCTCCCTTTCCTTCCAAATGGGAGGACGCTCGAAATCCCAATCATGCAATCACAAGTCCCAAGTGGGACACACATAACACAATTGCCTTTCCCCTGGTGCACCCAGCGCTTCCTACCCATAACTCACAATTTTTCTCTCGGGACAGTGCATGTCACTCTCCCCTAACATCCATACACAGTGCTTGGTTCCTTCTCGTGAGCATCTTCAAGGGTGAGCTAGTTTTTCTTGGAATCTAGCAACTCCCTTCATTCCCTTATCTTCGCTTGTGTGTCCGTTCATAGGGCAGGATTGTTCCTTCTCGATTACCCTTTGTGTTCATATGAAGTTCCTTCGGGCATTAAGTGTGGTGCATGGAGCCCGCTGGGCTCCGAAGAAAGGGGAAGAAAGCACCCGTGTCGGTCAGATCACTCCGTCGGGGGATTTCCACCGGAACCCGGACTAGCCCGGAATCCCAATCGCCCGCCAGGTAACCGGAGCCCTTCTTTCGCACGAAGAGGAAGGGTCGACCTGCGGCTTGCCCAAGGCTTCCCTGGCCTGACGAACATCAGTTCAAGGGAAGGAGGAATAGAGTCATCTCCAAAGGAGATGGCTGATCAAAAGTGCAAGCATGCATGTTCTTCCTCCAGGCCTAGCCTTGCCATGCACCCAGCCACCCTCAAATCTGATTCTCTCAAAGGGATAGGGCACACACGAGTCCTCATTCCTTCTCTTCATGTTTATGTTCGCGGTCATGCGTCCAGCGCCCCTTTCGAGACCGTATGAGTCAGTTTAACCGTATACCCGGCACCTCCACCATTTTTGTAGGGGCCGTACCCTGAAGTACTTTCGAGCCTTGGTCGACCCCACTGCGGGTCCCATTCGGCTCGATCCGCCCACGCTCATGCTCAAAGCGCGGGTCGTTCGTCCCAGGGGCACCCCCACCTAGTGCTTTGAGATGGATGGGGATGGGCCTTTTGCGAGAGGGCTTTACATTGGGGGATGTAGCTCCGCTCTCGCGTCAAGATGGTGGCTCTTTGGTCACTTGCGGCGTTTTCTTGATTCATTTAAGTCTGACTAGGCAATTGCTCTTTCCAATACTCAGGCAGTCTAGGGAGTTTGTTGAGAGTTTGTCTTCTTACCGTGCGCAGGCCAAGCGTCATCCATTGGGCCACGCACCTTTTCACTAGGTCTAGTGGCTCGGGACAGCCCCGACAGCATCCTTGGGGTAAGGCGGCGGCGCCCAGACCACTAGCCGCTATATTTTTTTTGCGAGCACCACTAGCATCACATCACCTATCCAAGACCGCCCTTAGTCTTTTCAGGGGTCGCATTGCACATGAGAGAGACATTCCATGCAACCTCCACACAAACCAAGTCCATGCATCAACTATCCACCCAAGCGCCCGGTCTCAACCCATCCCGCATCCATGGCTTAAGCTGGATCCAAGTCCTTTCCTTAGCCAATCTCCCACCCTAGTCCTCATCCGCGAGTCCAACCCCGTCCAAATCGTCCCTAGCTACTCACCTGCGCAAGACCACTCAAGACAAATGACCAACTACAATCCCCATTGGGGTCAACACATCGCCCCCTTCCCGCAATCCTAAGTTGTCTTTGCCTTCCACTTCCCCTTATGAGTTCCCTCCCCTTTCACACAGGCAAGCCATGCGATCACCTCAGTCACGCATTCCAGGAGGATGGTTGAGTCAAACTGACTTCGTTCAAAAACATCACTCCTTTTCGCTTTCCCGAATGTTCTCAATAGCCTCGTATCCTTTCCTTCTTGGTGGCACAAGGGACCGGCAGCCCTTCCCTTGCCCTCGCTTTCCACCAAGTGAGGACCAAGTTCCTTTCCGTTYGTTCCMYGGCAATGTAACAGGTGAGGGTAGAGGTTAGTCACATGCCATGGAGGGGAAGGGGTGACGGAAGGGTTAAGGGTTAATGGTTTTTGAAGGAATGGAGGAAGACGGAGGGAGAGGGACAGGAGAGAGAGAATGAGAGGGAGAGAGAGAGAGAGAGAGAGAGAGAGAGAGAGAGAGAGAGAGAGAGAGAGAGAGAGAGAGAGAAAGAACAAGAAGCTTCACATCCTAATCGACTTTGCTCATTGACTTACCCTAACCGATCCTATCCGAGGTCTCGTGCGTCCCCCTTGCGACTCTCCCCCCCCTAAGACTTTCGGGTGGACGGGCGTAGGTGATGAAGGAGGAAGGAGGGTTGAGGGCGGTCGGCTATGGTGGACGGGTGTGGGTGATTGTGGAAGAAGGTGATTGGCTATGGTGGACGGATACGGGTGATGGAGGAAGAAGAAGGGTTGGGGGTGGTTGGCTATGGAGAACGGGAGCGAGT